GACAATTTGATTCCCTTTTTTTCCCCCAAAAAAAGTGAACAAATTCATAACCAGAAGTTGTGAGCATATAATCTGATTCAATCACGACCAAGAAAATGATTAAGAAACAAATTTATCAATAACACCCTATTTTAGATTCATATTCGGCAAAGAAACTTGCTAGTCATTTGTATCTATGTATAAATCATTTTCAACATGTTTCACAATGACAAAAAAAACCCTTAAATTTTATTAACTTTTATTTAAAATTTAATAAATTTTTAACTTTATTCCTATATAATATACATTATACCTCATGTAAACAATATCAACATAATAATAAAAGAAAGATAAAATTGTACATTCATACAAAAATTTATCTTAATACCCTATAAATAGGACAAAAAAATTTTTTTAACCTTATGAATAGGACCAGAGGAGTATATCTCAAGTGCTGAAAAAAAAAATTACACCTTCTAGTGTGAATTGTGATACTTTTGCAAAATAAGAGAATCAATCAAAAAGAAAATTCTTTTTACACTTTATAAGAATTTTTTTTACGTATTTATCTCTTGAGAGACAAAATCAATTAAAATAAGTTAATCCAAACACCCACTGTAAAAATATTACTTTCAATTTTTAATATAAGAGCTAGTTGAGAGGTTAAATTTGGACATAAATATAATATATCAATCTACCTTGTCTCTCAAATTTATAATTTTTTTCTCAAAATATCCATTGATTGTAAAGGGTTTTTTTTTATCAAGGGGTTCGTAGCTTGAAATGCACATAATCAAAAAGAAAAAAAAGGTAAAGAAACACATATTTATTACAGATAACTAACTTAATTAATTTATTTAATATCTCTAAATTTGTTACGCAAATTTTTCATCAGAGATAGTAGTTAAATTCTTAGACTTGTGCAAAAAAAGGGGATGACGGAACAAAAGATATACCTTACTTTTATTTTTCACTTTCTCCCCAAAAGAATCTTTGTAGCTTTTTTCTTTTCTTTTCTTTTTTTTTTATTGCAGCTTCTTTTCTCCTCCACTCATAGAAAGATGCTATTGTTAAAGATGACCATAAGTCCATAACGTTTGATCCTACAAACCATGTAATGTCATTTCACTCGTATGAAGCAATTTACTCTTTTCTGCGGCTTCAACTCAACACTGTGATGCTTTTAATCCAAATTCATGATACCCTTTTGCCTTTTCTTGTACATCTTGAATCATGCTTGAAATTTGGATGTCCTCGAAAGTGAACAATTTTGAGTAGAAGAGGAAATTAAAAAGCTGTTTGGTAAAAACAATCTATGAAAAATTCCACACAAAAAAAAGTTTATTATTAAATTTCAAATCAAATTTAGTAACAACACTTTAATAGATTTTGATAGTACTAAACTTGCAAATAACAGCAGCACATTTTCGTAGAAAATTTTTTATTTAGGATTTAATAATTTTAAACGTTTTTTTTTTTGGCGGGATTCTCTCCATAATCTAATCCATTTTCCGTTTCTCATATTATCTCAAACTCGTGGACACACTCTATCTATTGTCTTTGGCAATAACCCCAAAGGGGGGAGAGAATGATGGAGAACGCGGAAAAAGAGACTTGGAGATGATGAAAGGTTGCAAATTAGAGTTTCCATGCATTAACTCCTTAAAAATAAGCCTCCTCGTGTGTGTGTGTGTGTGTGTGTGTGTGTTTCATTATCAAAATTCAAAATATAAAATATAAGTTTTGATTAATTAATTATTGTGGCAATAAGTTAGCCCATCAATAGGAGGAGGCGCGATCCAATAACTTTCTAACAGAAGGATTTTAATTTGGATTGTCTAAAATGTTATAGATATAGCATAATTCTAATCTCATGAATCCACTGATATGTCAAGAAGATAAACATCAGCTTGAAACAAGGAGTGAACTTTTTCTTCTTCTAGCTTCGAATAACCATAGAATGAAACGAAACTGGTGATTTCGTTAATTATATTAATTATTGTCTCATTGAAAACTTGCTTTCTCAAATCTTTTGCTCAGTTTTCTCAGAGAAAAATGAATCGCATCAGTAGAAACTCGAGTGTGGATGATATGCAGGTTCTTTTCAATCATTTAACCCTGACGTTGTTAATAAAGGAATATTGACGTAGTTACTTTTCAAAACAGTAATGATTATTATAAAAAATAATCATTTGAGAACTAAAGGTTCGCTTTTGTCTAAAATTTTGTTATTCGACATAATGAAAATATGCCTACTTGTGAGCAAAAACTGTATTTTTTTTCATCCAGAAAATTAGCTCAACTAAAGAGGTAGCGTGCTTTTCCATTAATATAAGAATAAACACTTTTTAAATTGAATTTCAAATGTGTTATGTAATTATAATTATAAATAAGAAAATACTTAAATATGATATAAATAGGGTTTAAATAAATATTATTAGGATTTAGATAGTATTTAATTGTATTAGTGGGATTTGGATAGATTAGGATATCTAGATAATATTTAGATGATATTAGGATATTTACTTAGATTCATATCTATTAAGGCTTTTGCTTATAAATAAGTATTAGCCATTTTTTGTAACTCAGTTTTTTACAATGTGATTAGAAATTATTCAGTTTCTTTTGATCCTCTACTCTTCTCTATTTCTATTACTTTTTTCCTTTCTCTTTCCTCTTTCTCTCTCCTATTTCTTTACTTTTCATAACAAAATGCATTTTACTCCATTATTAAGAATCAAAGTATTCTTTTAAGGATTCAAAGGTAATCTTCAGCTCAGATAGAGTTTGAGCATATCTGCAGACAAAATCGGAGACAAAGATTGAAGGAATGGAATGAACAAAAGGAGGCGTAAGGGAGTCGCAAGCTGAAGAGCTTAATTAACGAACGAAGGCGGAGAGGGTTGTGCGTGCAAGTGGGGTTTGGATCTTTCAATGCTCTTTCAATTAAATATCAATTTGAGATATACTATCTCCGGTCCTAATTATAAGAGTCATTTGACTAATTTGAGGAGATTAAGAAAGTAAGTTGAGTTAGTTATTTCTCCTAAATAAGTGTTGTCTTTCCTAAAATATCCTTGCTAATCAAGTGTATTGACTAAAACTATCATTGTTAGAAGGGTTACTTTAGAAAAAAAAAAAGTATAAATATGAGAAACAAAGTGGATTGGAGTTTTATATTTAGGACCAAAATAAAAGTCAAACAGAATCTTATATTAAAGACCGGAGGTAGTATTAACCATCAAATTGTAATTTGAGTGTGTTAAACAGATATATTTAAGCATCTCCTATGACCTCTTACCTACAGAGGAGTTTTTATATTACTAGGCTACGAGGCTATCTGCAGAAGATGTAGATTTAAAAGGGACCAACATATATACTCCTCCGGTCTTTAGTGTAGGATTTAACTGGAGAGTTGATGTTAATCCTATATATAAGACCTATTTACATGTTTATCAATTTTTTTATAAATTAACTCCATTGATATTCTCCCAACAATAATCAAATAAAGATGATTAGGGTGTTTTAGAAGAAAAAAAACATTACATTAACTAATTTAATTAACATCCGCAATCTACTCAAATTAATTAATTATCTCTTACATTAATGATCAGAGAATAATAAAATTTTTTAAATCAATCATATTAAAAAAATTTCTCTTTCATTTCCCGAGTAACAGGGTGGCATTTGAAATCAAATTTTAATGATTCAGGTTAAATCACGTATTCATTTTTAATTTTGATATCTTAGCCAGTAAAATTTGACGGTAACCGCAAAAACAAACTAGTAAGAAAACAAATTGATATTTTCCCATGCAATGCAACGAGTAAGAGGTGAGTAACAGAGTGTGGTTTACAAAGGATGCAATTTTTTTTTTTAAAAAAATTTATCTTACTCTCTCGGTTCTTAATATAAAATCTATTTAATTAATTTGATTAGATTAAAAAAAATTGGGTAAGTTAGTTAATGATAAGAAACATGTCATATTTTTCTTAAAACACCATAATTATCTTCCTTAATATAATCTCTCCCTCTTCTACTTGATTATAGTTGAGAAAATATCCATCGAAGTAATTTACAAAAAATTAATAAATATGAAGAATAGGTCTAATATTTAGACCAAATTCAACTTAACAATTAAGTTCTATATTAAAGACCGAAGGAGTATATTAATTTCTAACCTATCTAACATAACTGATTTAATCATGAACCCAAGGACAAAAAAAATGTACCCATATTCATTGAAAGTCAGGGGCTTTAGAATGTTGTGTAGACCCTTCACCTACAATTGTTCCTAGATGAGCCAATTAGCCTACTTCCTTGCCCTACGCATAGATAGGGCTATAGGAATAGGATCTTGGAAACATAGGATTCCTAAAATATTGGAATCATGTTTTGATCAATGGCAAATGCCAAGCACTTAAAATAAACTAGTTCAAACACCATTTAATTCAGTGTTAATTAAGCCATCCATAGTCCTCAAGAAAAGAATAAAAATATATTTGTTTTATGATCTGCCTAATCTTCCTTAGATTCCATTTAACTCAAGAGGCCCTCTTTATTCCTTTACTTGTCTGCCGTCATCATGTTTCTGAAAGAACAAGCTTTCACTGACGACCCCAACCCCAAGTATAATATTCCTACACTGTTCTCTTGACACAGACAATGATAGAAACCAGAAGAGATTATACTTAGGAGAGGCAGGCATCTGTAACCAAATTTATTTTGCTAAAATTCTATCGTTGAAAAAAAAATAATAATAATAATAAACAGTAAAACTGGACCTAACTTTTTCTTGCTGAATAAATTCCGGGCTTAATTTTTAAATTATCTGTTATCATATTCTTTAAAGACATGACATGTTATGTTAGCTGTGAATTGTTAAGAATTAAATTGCAAGAGGGCAGAATCATTTGCCAGGGGAAACCTTTGAGACCATCTACCATTATGGAAACCCTTTATAAATAACAAGCTTCACTACTAACCAAATGTACCCCTCTACAAAAGAGCAATCACTTAGTAGTTGTTGGTTCTGACAAGGCTCAAAGATATGAGGAACACTCTACTTCTGTGGTTCCTAATGTTGCTCACCATCCTCACATATTCAGCCTGTGCAAGCAAAGCTAATGCAGAACATGATGATTCTAGGATTTCCAAGTCACCATTACAGCCTAGATGTAAGCAATTAGGAACTTCTTTGTTTCTTTTTTTCCTTGCTCTGATTTCATGTTATTTTCCGTTTTGTTGTATGAAAGTAACCTGAACTTCAACTATGATTCTAGCTTGTTAAACTTATCCAGGTTTAAATCTTGAGTGCACAATTTAACAAGCGAAAAATGAAAATAACAAAGTCGGTTGATATACACTAATTTTTTTAATTTTCAGATATTAACTCGGGCACCCATCAATTTTTTTATGGCTAAACTACAATACCAATTGATGCAAGTACTGAAATCCTAACCGAAGATTGAACATTTGAACAAGTTCACCTTTGTTCTTCTGGAGTGTGCAGATATGTATGGCGTGATCATGGGATCAAATGAAACAAGCAATCAAAGAAGAGTTCCAAGAGTCAATAATGTAAAGCATGATGGAAGCCTTTCACATATAGGAAAGCCAATCAATGGTGCTTCAAGTGACTTGTTACGACGTCCAAATGGCAAGAGACATTCAAGCTCCTTTTCTAGCAAGCCTTCATCTTTGCTCAGGGCAGCTCTCAAGCATCTCTTCCTTGGATTGCTTCTATTTGCTTGCTACTATTGATTTCCCGGGGCCACATGCTTCATCCTGAAACACACTTTAATAGGAGAAAGAATAATAAAAATTAAGAACTCAATAACTAACCTCCTATGTTCATGTCATAAGACCCTTAAGTCCAGCCAAAAGCTGTTCCCCCCACCCCTTCTCTCCCTTATAAATTCCTGCTCACAGCATCTGATAGCAAGATGATGCTAATGCTTTTTTCTTTTTCCTTTTTGGCCCCCCTTTTTTGCTATTTAAAATGATAAGCTAGCTTTTGCCTTCATTTCCCTTCAAGCGTGCTAAATCTATTTTATACAAGAAACAAATTACGGGAGAGAAACACACATACGTACCTTGTCTTCAATATCGCTTGGCTCAGGACCAACTAAACCAAAGTTTCTTAACTTATAATCTATGATCTCCAACTAGATTCCGTTGCATCCGGACAACTAATCTAGAGCCATACTGCACAAAGTTGACTAGCTGGATAAAACGGGAAAATCTAGTTCGCCCTTTGTGATTTGATTTAAAATCAACTTGTCTTTCTGTTAGATTTAAGGAGTCTCAGCCAACTCTGATAGTTTATCGTCACTAATTAGCCCCCACTCTTGAGAATTGAAATAGCCCACTTAATTCGTGCAATAGCACCATATAGTTGTTCAAAATATAAATTAGGTTGGTTAGGTAACGATTGAACAAACCACACACGTGTTAAATAAGATGCTTCTTCAAATAGTATGAGAGCACAGGCCAAATGGTGGTAAATACTAACTTACCCTAATAAAACTGGCCTCCTGTGCTCAAACTTGAAGAGTAGAACTTATCACCTTGACTCCACGCAATCTTAAGCATCCGTGGACAATATCGGAAAACTGTCCTATTAGCAGTAATAATAACACAATGGTAATATTTCCTTCATTGAAGAAAGTGAATTAAAACAATAAGTGGCACACCACGGAATGACTAGTGGTTTCCTAGAATGAGGGAGATGGGGGCAAGAATGAAAGGTTAACATACATAAAATGAAACTGTTACATAACTGCAATTTGGAAATGGGTTAGGTAAGCGAGGATATACTATCCGTCAGGATTGGCTGCTCTGCCTATATATACATGAGCAAATCATTGAAAGGTGTGCGTGAAGTCTAAGTGAGCAATAACAGAAATGTTCCCTCTCTCTTCACTTCTCCCTGTTCTTCTCTCTTCCCTCAGACCTCTAAACACTTCTCCTTCGCTCTTTCCCCTCTTCCCTTTCCCACTCTTTACCTTTCAAGATAACAAAGGTATAACAGAAACACTTTAATTTTAGATTTCTGTAACATAACATATGAAGCAGTGCATCAGATAAACCCACTTGACCATTTCAGAAATGAACAAGAGAAAATGGAATTCATATACAACTGCATTACAAGTTCAAGCAAGACTTAAAGATATTCATACAATAGAAATAACATGGACGAGGTGTCATTAATTTGATTACAAGCATAAAAGACTACAGATATAGGCGCTGAACTTCAACCCCAAAAGAAGAAGAGTTGCTGCAGAAATTCTTCTGAAGCACTTCACATACCGGCAAACCGGAGGGCTCAATGGTAAAAGAAGGAATGAACAAGTATGTATATTTCTGTGAATATGTGAGCTTTATCTTTAATGTATTTGGCCACGAGCGTCTTCGATAGCTACTTGAGTTGTTTCTCCGTCGTCCCCGTCACACAAAAGTCTTCCTTCCTTAAATACCTTCCCACACCTTCGTCATATCAACCCTATCTCTTGTTTCGTCTTCCTTTTACTACTTCCCTATACAATCCAAGATTAATTGCAAGCCATGCTATTTGTAAATTATAAACGTCGTTCACGTCTCACGCCCTGTATATGACATGCCAGCACGTGCATGCACAACTTTTTCATAACTAATTATGGGAGTAATAAACATTGACTTTTGGAGGAGACCAACCCAAGAGACATACATCAGTTTATGAACAAACCCATATAGCCACGTTGGATTAGGGCCTGGGCCTTAATAATTCATTTCTGGGGCCACGTGGGAGCCTTTTCCCCTTCGTACACGACAGCAAATTGGATCTTCACCCTTGCAGCCGGAAAAAGGGAAACTGGATTTTCACCCGTTGTGTCAATAGTGTTTAAGTAATTTGCGTCAATATCAAAAAAGTTGTGCCAAAAAAACACACGAGAATGGAAGAGAACACGGTATTAAACATTTGGCCTTTTGAGTATTACATATTGTTCATGTTAATTAATTCAATTTAGTAGCGTGACTGTATTTTGAACTCCTAACTTACATGAAAAGATCTCGTAATAAAAAAATATGGACCTTAGAATATTAATTGTATCCCCATTTCCTGCAAGGAAACGTGGATTTTATTTGGCCACAACTCCAGTCATCCCCTGAATTTTATGTTATATGTAGAGGTAATTTCTGGTGAATTCTCTAAACTCCTACAATAATACAAACAACTCTCCTATTAATTTACTTATCTTAATTTTATTCGTTACTTATTTGCATACATTTTAAAGTTTATATGCCTTATATGGATATAACTCCAAATTTGAGTGGTTACACACAGACAAAAATATATAATCGATGGTTGGACTTGGAGTTTTTTTATATAGAGTTGAAAGTTCAAGTGGTTGGTTGTTAAGTTTTAAAGGTTGAGATCGATCTGTCTTTTTTTAACCAGAAGATCGATCTGTTTTGAAAAATATACCATGAGATTCTAAAAAATATATATATAATTATTAAAAAATCTCAATGAAAAATTGAAAGTATAAACTTTATTATCATCTCTTCCTATAGAACTTATTATTCACTTATTAGTTATTATGAAATTTTTAATAATTATTCTTTTTGAAAATTTCTATTATTCCACCTGCCCCTTAGGTTCACTTTGCCATATGAATGTTAGAGCTAATAATATGAATTGGACTAATAGTGGGTTAGGATTAGTTAAAAACCAGTCTCCAGTAAATAAGCCTTTTTAACCCACCCTACTATGCACTGGTTGACCTATGTTTATTTTTTTAGTTTTTATTTTATTAATTATTATAATTATATTATGATATGTTATATCCTATTTAAAAAAATTCAAAAAATATCTATATCATTTATTTGGTACTTTTGAGTTTTGATCAAAACATTTGATGGAAAAACAAAACTTTTATTGTATTTTTGTATATTGTATTTGGAAAAATATTTAAAAAATAAAAAAAGTAAACAATTGTTGGCAGGTTAGGATTGGTTAAAAGCTAATCTACTTGCAAATAGGCTTTTTTAGCACATACTGCCTAACCTTAACCTATCACAGGTTAACCTGTATTACCAATTCTATGCATAGCGTATGGAGAAGCCACAACCATAGTTTTGAGCTTGTTGCGTTTTAAATATATTGAGAGTTTGCTTCTTCTTTTTTTAAGTTGTATTTTTGGCATGTAAGTGTTTTATGAAAAGTGTAATTAATTTTTTTAATCTAAAATGTCTTGTGAGTATGTCAAAATTACTTGAATTCTATTAGAAAGAAACAATTAATAATTGGTACTAATAAAGAAGAGTAAAATTGAAAACAAAATCTTAGGATCTCAACTATTTAATTATTTCTTCGAGCCAGGTTAAAGTGCTTATTTTAAAAACGGAGGGAGTATGAAGCAGTGACAATAGTTTCATTGTTCTAATTTACACAACTCATTTTTTTTTATTTTTAAAAAATTAATCATCATTTTTTTAAATTTACAGCCAAAGGTTTATTTTGTATGTAACTTTTTGCTCTTAAATAGAAAGGCTTTTCTTATATTATCCACCTTAATACTCCTTTGCATCTTAATTCATATGATTTCTTGGTAAGAAAAGAAAAGGGATCCATCATCTTCTAACTACTTGGCCATATATGGCAAAGTAAGGGTTTAAAAATTCAAGTAATCTATGAAGAAGCTAGCTTAGTAATCTCAAAGGGTTAATTAACATGTAAAGATCTGCCATATATATACTACAAAAATGATAATAAAATGTATATATTATTAGTAAATAATGAATAAATACAAACAACATATATGAATCACACTATACTAAAATGACAAAGCAACTGACTGCTTTGTTGATCCCAATGATACTAAACTTTTCTCTTAAACCTTTTTTAGGCATGAGATTATAAGTTTGAAATCTCTATATAGAATGTTGATAATGAATGCATGCATAACTTATGAAAAATTAGAAGAGTTGTTCACATCTAATATCCAACCGTGCTTCGAACATAATTGTTTCCACCAGAGAGCTGTGAACAATAAAAAAAAAAATTAAAATTCACATCAATACATATCATAAATATATGGATTTAATTGGTTCTTAAGTTAGAGCTTAAGTTTGAGGCTTTGAGCTATCAAGTTCAGCTCCTTTTTGTTAAAAAATATTACACCTTATAAAGTTTTGGAAAATTTAGGTAATCTATTAATAGGCATAGCATCACTCTCACTTATTGATTGACGCATGATACGCATAAGCTGCGTATGGATTTTCTAAATATATAATGCATGATACTTGACCACAACTATAAATTCTTGTTATCACTTTGCTTTGCTTTTCATGATTCTTTTCTTCTTGAGTAGTACTTAATTATTAAAAAAGTTAATGCGTACGTGTGCGACAATTCGATTCCCAATTTTTTTCGGAAAAAAAAAAGTGAACAAGTTAATAACCAGAAGTTGTGAGCATATAATCTGATTCAATCACGATCAAGAAAATGTTTAAGAAACAAAGTTATCAATAACACCCTATTTTAGATTCATATTCGACAAAGAAGCTTGCTACTCCTCTAGTCCTATTTATAAGTTACTTTCAACATATTTCACACAGATCAAGAAAAATTTTAAATTTCATTAACTCTCATTTAAAATTCAACAACTTTTTAACTTTATCCCTATTTAATATATATATTATAGCTCATATAAACAAAGTGAACACAATAATAAAGGAAGGGTGAAATTGTATATCTATAAAAAAAAATTATCTTAGTACCGGATGAATAGAATCAAAAAATATTTTTTCTTTCTGCCTTATAAATAGGACCAACGGAATATATCTCAAGTGCTAAAAAGAAATTACACCTTCTAGTGTGAATTGTGATACTTTTGCAAAATAATAGAATCAATCAAAAAAAAATTCTTTTTACACTTTATAAGAATTTTTTTTTTACGTACTTATCTTGTGAGATATAAAATCAATTAAAATAAGTTAATCCAAATACCCACTATAAAAATATTACTCTCAACTTTTAATATAAGAGCTAGTTAAGGGGTTAAATTTATCTTCTAAGATATAAAATCAATTAAAATAAGTTAATCCAAATACCCACTATAAAAATATTACCCTCAACTTTTAATATAAAAGCTAGTTGAGGGGTTAAATTTGGTCATAAATATAAGACATCAATTTATCCTGTCTTACAAATTTATAATTTTTTTCCCAAGATATCCATTGATTGTAATGGGTTTTCATCAAGGGGATGATAGCTTGAAATGCACATAATAATAATAATAAAAATTTAGGCAAACCAATATATATTTGTTACAGATTAATTTCTTCAATATCTCCAAATTAGTTACGCAAATTTTTTATCAGAGATATTAGTTGAATTCTTAGACTTGTGCAACAAAAGGGGATAATGGAACAAAAGATATACCTTACTTTTATTTTTCACTTTGTCCCCAAAAGAATCTTTGTAGTTTTTTTTTTTTTAACGCAGCTTCTTTTCTCCTCCACTCTTAGAATAGTCTAAATCCTCTACGGTGAAAAAAGAGCAGAAAGATGCTGTTGTTAAAGATAACCATAACGGTTGATCCTACAAACCATGTAATGTCATTTCACTATGTATGAAACAATGTACTCTTTTTTACGGCTTCAACTCAACACGGTGATGCTTTTGATCCAAATTCATGATACCCTTTTGCCTTTTCTTCTACATCTTGAATGATGCTTGAAATTTGGATGCCCTCGAAAGTGAACAATTTTGAGTAGAAGAGGAAATTAAAAAACTGTTTGGTAAAAACAATCTATGAAAAATTTCACACAAAAAACAGTCTAAAATTACTAAACTTCAAATCAGATCTGGTACAGCATTTTAATAAGTTTTGACGGTACTAAACTTGCAAATAAGAGCAGCACATTTGCGCAGAAATTTTTTATTTAGAATTAATAATTTTAAACTTCTTTTTACCGGGTTCTCTCCATAATCTATTCCATTCTCTGTTTCTGATATTATCTCAAACTCGTGGACACACTCTAACTATTGTCTTTGGTAGTAACTCCAAAAAGAGGGAGAGAATGATAGAGAACGCGGAAAAAAGAGACTTGGAGATGATGAAAGGTTGCAAATTAGAGTTTTCATGCATTAACTTCTTAAAAATAAGCCTCCTCGTGTGTGTGTATTTGATTATCAAAATTCGAAATATAAAATATAAGTTTTGTTTAATTGACTAATATAGCAATAAGTTAGCCCATCAATAGGAGGAGGCGCGATCCAATAATTTTCTAACAGAAGGATTTTCATTTGGATTGTCTAAAATGTTATAGATATAGCATAATTCCAATGAATCCATTGACATGTCAAGAACATAAACATCAACTTGAAACAAGGACTGAACTTTTTCTTCTTCTAGATTTGAATAATCATAGAATGAAACGAAACTGGTGATTTCTTTAATTATATTAATTATTGTCTTATTGAAAACTTGCTTTCTCAAATCTCTTGCTCAGTTTTCTCAGAGAAAAATGCAGGTTCTTTTCGATCATTTAACCCTGACGTTGTTAATAGAGAAATATTGACATAGTTAATTCTCAAAATAATTATTATTATTATAAAAAATTATCATTTGAGAACTAAAGGTTCACTTTTGTCTAAAAGTTTGTTATTCGACATAATGAAAATAAACCTACTTGTGAGCAAAAACAGGTGTCTTTTTGATCCAGAAAATTAGCTCAACTAAAGAAGTAGCATGCTTTTCCATTAGTATAAGAATAAACACTTTTTAAATTGAATTTCAAATGCATTCTACTCCATCATTAAAAATCAAAGTACACTTTTTAAGGATCAAAGGTAATCGTAAGCTCAGATAGAGTTTGAGCATATCTCCAGACAAAATTGGATACAAAGATTGAAGGAATAGAATGAACAAAGGAGGCCTAGGATCCGTTTGGTATGAGGAAAAATGAAAAGAGGAGAGGGAAAGGAAAATTCTAACAAGATCGATTTAAAAAATTGAAAAAGTGGGGTTAAAAGCTTTTAATTTTTATTACTCTTTTATATTACTTCTTCTTTATTAAAATTTCAAAACCCCACTTCTCTAATTTTTTAAATAGAACTCGTTAAAATTTTCTTTTCTCTCTTTTCCCTCTAATTCCCTCATACCAAATAGTACCTAAGGGAGTGGAAAGCTGAAGGGCTTAATTAACGAACAAAGGCGGAAAGGGCTGTGTGCGGGAGTGGGGTTTGGATCTTTCAATGCTCTTTCCATTGAGCGTCAATTTAAGATATACTAACCATCAGATTGTAATTTGAGTATGTTAGACAGATATATTTAAGCGCCTATAGAAGAGTTTTTATTTCACCAGGCTACGAGGCCATCTGCAGAAGATGTAGATTTAAAAGGGACCAACATATATACTCTTCCAATCTTTAGCTCAGGATTTAATTAGAAAGTTGATGTTGATCCTATATATAAAACCTATTTATATATTTATCAATCTTTTTTCAAATTAACCCTATTAATATTCTCCTAGTAATAATTAAGTAAGAGAGGGTGGGAGAGAATTATTGAAGATGATTAGGATGTTTTAAAAAAAATTATATTAACTAATCTAACTAATATTTTTAGTCTATTCAAATTAATTAATTATGTCTTCGTCGAAGGATGATAATCAAAAGGAGGGGGGGACCTACAAACGCCGAAAGAAGATGCACCTTGAACCAACAGATGGAATTTTCACTCAATGGTTCATATGCGCCTTCACGGCTTTTAAAATGACTGGAGTGGCGGAAAGATTAATCTCATGGCTATCTTTTTGGAGGATATTGATTCCCTACGCTTGGTATGAGGAAAATTGAAGGCGAGGGAAGAGAAAATTTTAATAAACTATTTTTTTAAAAAATTTTAAAAAATGGGATTAAAACATTATAATTTATTTTATCTTTCATCTTTTCATTAAAATTTCAAAATTTAACTTCTCCAATTTTTTAAATCGATTCTGTTAAAATTTTTCCTCCCCTTCATTTTTCTCGTAACAAACATCGGGTGGCATTTGAAATCAAATTTTAATGATTCAGGTTAAATCATGTATTCATTTTTAATTTCGATATCTTAAACTAGTAAAATTTGACTGTAACAATAGAAACAAACTAGTGAGAAAACAATTTGATATTTTCCATGTAATGCAACGAGTAAGAGGTAACAGTTTGTGGTTTGCGAAGGATGCAATTTCAAAAAAAAAAAAAAAAACCATTATATGTTATATTAATTTCTAATCTACCTACCATAAGTATTACTGAATTAATCACGAACCCAAGGACAAATAAAAGTGCCCATATTCATTGAAAGTCGAGGGCTTTAGAATGTTGTGGAGACACTTCACACTTTACCTACAATTGTTCCCAAATGAGCCTATTAACTTACTTCCTTGCCCTATGTATAAATAGGGCCATAGGATCTTGGAAAAATAGGGTTCCTAAAATATTTGAATCTTGTTTTGATCAATGGCAAATGCCAAGTCTCTACCACCTCAACCATTTCAAAATTTTGTAAAAAGAAACTTGACAATGCACTAGTGAAATGTGAATCATACAATCTGGGGGGGGGGGGGGGGAACCACCATAAGCACTAAAAAAGTGTTTTTATGCAATCCAACTATCAAGATGAAAATCTTCTCACATGTTTCACCCCATATAGCGCAAAATCACTTAAAATAAACTAATTCAAACACCATTTAATTCAGTGTTAATTAAGCCATCCATATTCCTCAAGAAAAGAATAAAAATATAATTGCTTTATGATCTGCCTAATCTTCCTTGGATTCCATTTAACTCGAGGGGCCCTCTTTATTCCTTTACTTGTCAGCCATCATCATGTTTCTGAAAGAACAAGCTTTCACTTACCACCCCAATAATAATATTCCTTCACTGTTCTCTTGACACAGACAATGACAGAAACCAGAAGAGATTATACTAAGGAGAGGCAGGCATCCGTAACCAAAATTATTTTGCTAAAATTCTATCGTTAAAAAGAAATAATAATAAACAGTAAACCCCTATCTAACTTTTTCTCACTGAATAAATTCCGGGCTTAATTTTTAAATTATCTGTTATCATATTCTTTAAAGACATGACACTAAATCATAACAATGTTAGCTGTGAACTGTTAAGAATCAAATTGCAAGAGGGCAGAATCATTTGCTTGGGGGGAATCTTTGAGACTATCTATGGTTATGAAACCCCTTTATAAATAACAAGCTTCACTGCTAACCAAATGTACCCCTCTACAAAAGAGCAATCACTTAGTAGTTGTTGGTTCTGACAAGGCTCAAAGATATGAGGAAGACTCTACTTCTCTGGTTCCTAGTGTTGCTCACCATCCTCACATATTCAGCCTGTGCAAGCAAATCTAATGCAGAACATGATGATTCTAGGATTTCCAAGTCAACATTACAGCCTAGATGTAAGCAATTAGGAACTTCTTTGTTTCTTTTTTTCCTTGCTCTGATTTCATGTTATTTTCCGTTTTGTTTTATGAAAGCTGCCTAAACTTCAACTATGATTCTAGCTTGTTAAACTTATCCAGGTTTAAATCTTGAGTGCACAATTTAACAAGCGAAAAATGAAAATAACAAAGTCGGTTGATATACACTTTTTTTTTTTTAATTTTTGGATGTTAACTCGGGCACCCATCAATTTTTTTATGGCTAAACTACAATACCAATTGATACAAGTACTGAAATCCTAACCGAAGATTGAACATTTGAACAAGTTCACCTTTGTTCTTCTGGAGTGTGCAGATATGTATGGCGTGATCATGGGATCAAATGAAACAAGCAATCAAAGAAGAGTTCCAAGAGTGAATAATGTACAGCATGATGGAAGCCTTTCACATATAGGAAAGCCAGTCAATGGTGGTGGTTCAAGTGACTTGTTACGACGTCCAAATGGCAAGAGACCTTCAAGCTCCTTTTCTAGCAAGCCTTCATCTTTGCTCAGGGCAGCTCTCAAGCATGTCTTCCTTGGATTGCTTCTATTTGCTTGCTACTATTGATTTCCTGGGGCCACATGCTTCATCCTGAAACACACTTTAATAGGAGAAAGAATAATAAAAATTAAGAACTCAATAACTAACCTCCTATGTTCATATCATAAGACCCTCAAGTCCAGCCAAAAGCTGTTCCCCCCACCCCTTCTCTCCCTTATAAATTCCTGCTCACAGCATCTGATCGCAAGATGATGCTAATGCTTTTTTCTTTCTTCTCCCCCCCCCCCTTTTTTGCTATTTAAAATAATAAGTTAGCTTTGGCCTCCATTTCCCTTTGAGTGTGCTAAATCTATTTTACACAAGAAACAAATTCCGGGAGAGAAACACACATACATACCTTGTCATCAATATCGCTTGGCTCAGGACCAACTAAACCAAAGTTTCTTAACTTATAATCTACGATCTCCAACTAGATTCCGTTGCGACTTGCATCCAGACAATTAATCTAGAACCATACTGCACAAAGTTGACTAGCTGGATAAAACGGGAAAATCTAGTTCGCCCTTCGTGATTTGATTTAAAATCAACTTGTCTTTCTGTTAGCTTTAAGGAGTCTCAGCCAACTCTGATAGTTTATTGTCACTAATTAGCCCCCACTCTTGAGAATTGAAATAGCCCACTTAATTCGTGCAATAGCACCATATAGTTGTTCAAAATATAAATTAGGTTGGTTAGGTAACGATTGAACAAACCACACACATGTTAAATAAGATGCTTCTTCAAATAGTATGAGAGCACAGGCCAAATGGTGGTAAATACTAACTTACCCTAATAAAACTGGCCTCCTGTGCTCAAACTCGAAGAGTAAATCTTATCACCTTGACTCCACGCAATCTTAAGCATCCATGGACAATATCGGAAAACTGTCCTATTAGCAGTAATAATAACACAATGGTAATATTTCCTTCACTGAAAAAAGTGAATTAAAACAATTAGTAGCACACCACGGAATGGTTAGTGGTTTCCTAGAATGAGGGAGATGGGGGCAAGAATGTAAGGTTAACGTATATAAAATGAAACTGTTACATAACTGTAATTTGGAAATGGGGTAGGTAAAGTTAGCAAGGATATACTATCCGTTAGGATTGGTTGCTCTGCCTATACACACATGCGCAAATCATTGAATGGCGTGCGTGAAGTCTAAGCGAGCAATAACAGAAATGTTCCCTCTCTCTTCACTTCTCCCTGTTCTTCTCTCTTCCCTCAGACCTCTAAACACTTCTCCTTCACTCTTTCTTCTCTTCCCTTTCCCTCTCTTTACCTTTCAAGATAACAAAGGTATAACAGAATCACTTTAATTTTAGATTGCTGTAACAGAACATAAGAAGCAGTGCATCAGATAAACCCACTTGACCACTTCAGAAATGAACAAGAGAAAATGGAATTCATATATAACTGCATTACAAGTTCAAGCAAGCCTTAAAAATATACATACAATAGAAATTACATGGATAAGGGTCATTAATTTGATTACAAGCATAAAAGACTACAGATATAGGCGCTGAACTTCAACCCCAAAAGCATTTCACATACCAGCAAACCGGAGGGCTCAATTCTGTACTTATCGAATAAATCTTCTTACCCATCCTCAGAACCGGAAAACATCTGTCTGGAATCTCTCATCATACAATCTCCAATGGCCATACCTCTCAGCATGGTAAGAAGACCTGGGGATGTACATATTTGGGCGTTTAATCTCTTCCAGACACTCCAAGTTGGATGTTGCACTTGCAATGTCGCGGCCAGTTAAGCTAGTACACCCAGTCAAATCCAAAAACTTGAGCTTCTTACACCCCTGACATAGTGAATTGAAGCCTTTTCCTGATAATTTGGAAAAACTAATCTCAAGGCACTCTAGAAGTGGCATAGAATTTGCAATAGCTGCAGCCTCAGAATCCCCATCTTGTGGACAAGCATTTAGATATTCATCAGGAACAACTCCCACATGCTGAGAAGGATCGATCCAATTCATGAGGTTTCGCTTCAAAATCTTAAGGCTTGGGCAATTTTTTCCAATCAACAGCAATGACTCATGGGATATTTCATAGCAGTAGCTGATGTCAAGTTCCCTGAGCTTTGGACAACTGAAAGCTATCATAGAGATGGAATCATCAGTAGCATGAGGGCAGCTTCTGATCGCTAGAACCTCGAGATTGGGGCATCTAAATTGCAATTGCATGATGCACAGAACCACAAAAGCAAAAAAATAAAGTGAGCTCTAATGTCACACAAAATAATGCTGAGGGCTCAAATATAATAATCTAAACCGTCACATAAATTTCAACTGCTAGAGCTCCATTAAATTAAGCACCAATGCTTTACAACCGGAGCCATATCATAAACGATGCGTTCAATCTTCAAAATTCTAATGCACACTCAAAAATTATTTATTTCAAAATCCGATCACAGCATGCCCAATTACATAATCAACACTGTTTCTTTCAACTCGCCTTTCAATGGCAATTTATAAGAAAAATCAGGGTATGTTCTTAATATTCCAACTTTTAAAACTTGGATTAACAATTCAAAGCAGAAAAATTGGAAGAAAAAAAAATCAAGTAGACAGAAGAAAAGCAAATTGCAATCAGGATTTACCTTTGAGCGACGAGAACAAGCGAGCGATCAGTGCAATGTCTAAGACGAATCTCCTTGAGAGAACCAGCGCTCCAACCGGTGACTGATCGAAGCATGGAATCGATCTTCCTCTCGAACTCGGGGGTCCACCAGCGGGCCAACTCAACGGGGGAATCGAAGTAGGTCTCGAGGTCGAAGACGGAGTGGAAAGAGGGGTCCTTGGAGGCGCGAAGCCAGGACTTGCAGACGAACATGGCGCCTCGCCATCGGTCGCGGATGCAGAGGCGGGAGAATATGTTGATGAGGCACTCATAAGTCAACTCGGCCCAGTCGACTCCGAGTGCCGACTCGGCGTCTCCCCCATCGGTTTCCATCGGGAAAGAGCCCGGCTTCTGCGAATCGCTTCCGACACCTACGATAGTAATTGTGCGATTGACGTGATGTGAAATCACCGCGAACCTTTTGCCTCAGGCACCAGAGCCGTGCAGGGACCTTTTGAGAATGGACAAGGAGAACATCTCATGAGGTCAAATCCGAAATGTCATAGGATTTAGTTTTCTTCTCTCTCAAGCCGTTGGCTTGCCGTGTATATTAAAACAAAAAACAAAAAAAATAGCGCGAACCTTTTATACAGTTACACACATGTTCGTAAATATAAGAACTAGTTGACTAATTTAAAAAAATTAAAAAATAAATTAATTTAGTTATTTATAATATATAGATGTTATTTTTTCTAAAATATCCTTACTAATCAAGTATATTGGATAGAACTACCATTATTAAAAAGATTACCTTTAAAAAAATATATAAATATAGAGACAAAATTGATTGGGGTCTTATATTTGGAAACAAAATAAAGATCAAATAACATTTTATATTAAAAACCAGAGGTATTATATTCTAAATGTGGTAGAGCGGGCTAACTGTGATACGGATTGAAAGCTCAACGGGTTGGAGCACCGATCACCTTGTATCTTAATCGGCTGGCAAAATGCAATATTCTGTTTTTTTTAATTTCGAAAAACAAAAAATAACAAGACATAAAAAAAAAGAGTGACAAAAAAAAAGCTTGGAATTACTAAATTTCAAACCAAGTATGGTAACAATATTTTATTTAGTGTTAACAATACTGAATTTACAAATGACAACAAATTTTTGTTGATATTCTTTATTTAGTATTTACAAATTTCTAACTTCTTTTTTTATCCTTGTCCCTAAAAAAAATGCTCTTTTACATAACCACTTGCTCAATTTCATTTTTATAAAACCACCTAATTGTAATCACAAATGTAGTAAAAATAAGATAGCATTTTATGATTAATATTATAATGTCGTGCGAGAAGAATATCTTCGATCAATGCCTGTAATTAATTGTACGCTCAAAGTAACGAAGGTTCAGTTTATATTAAAAAAATATTAATATTCAACATAAAGAATTATTTTTTTTTTTTATACAAAGGAAAGCAATAAAGAATTATAATACCACCTCCTATCTTTAATATAAGAACTCGTTTGACTTTTATTTTAGTTCTAAATATAAGATTTCAATTCACTTTGTCTCTTATATTTATGCATTTTCTTTCAAGGTAATCCTTCTAATAATGATAGTTATAGCCAATACACTTGATTAGTAAGGATATTTTAAGAAAGACAATATTTATTTATTACAAATAACTAATTTAACTTATTTCCTTAATCTTCTCAAATTAGTCAACAAACTCTTATAATTAGAACTGAAGATAGTAGTATAAAAATATTAAAATAGAAATACCCCAGACATGAAGAATATGTAGTAAAAAATAGAGACACAATTTTAGTAATAAAAAAACCTTCTAATATGGTGGCAAATTAACTACTATGCTAAAAATGTTGAAGTTGGACTTGAGTCTTAAACTTGGGTAGCGGGCTAATGAATTGACCTGAAATAATATGATGTGATGACTAATTTGTTAAAATAGGCGGACCAGCCCGCTAGCCTGCAGCAGAGCAAGCTCAAAACAATGCGGGGTTGAATAGTAGTCCGCAAATGCCAAGTTGAACCTGCCTTTTTTGTGAGTTGAGCCCTGTATTGACGATTCTAATATATACTCCCTCCATGTTATTTATAACTTTCAAATTTGAAAAGAGATAGTTCTTTTATAAACTCAATTTGGGTTTATTTTAACATTTAATATATTTTTTTAATATTACTCTTAATTATTTCTCTCTTATCACATTTTTCCATATATTTTTCCATTTGTTTTCATTTATTATAATAATATATTTAGAAATATCAATATATTTTTAACTTATTTATTATTTTAAACTAGTTGTTTATTCTCAGTGAATTAGTTATTTAAAACTTATAAGAACCAAAAACTGTGTGTGTGTGTATCCAATGTGATTGTTAAGCATCCCTGGAACCTTGATCCTTCGAAGGGGCGCGAGGTCGACTTTTAAGCTACATTTTTTTTTTGGACCCGATAAAGTGAAATTTTCCTTAAAGATTAAATAAGTACAAAGCCCAGCAAGAGGTTCAAAAGGACAGGTAATAAGAGCCCAAAGCCAACAAACCTAGGAGTGTGTTTGGCTCAATAAAGAGAATGGGAGGAGAGAGATTTTAATATAAAAAAAGGAGATAAAAAGAGGGAGAGAGATTTTAATATTACCTTATTTAGATTAATACAAAAGGAGGGAAAGAAAAGAGAGAAATTTTAATGTTACTTTGCTTGGTTGAGGAAGAGAGGGGAGGCAAAATATTTTTTTATGGTCAACTTTGCTCTTATATTATTTAAGTTGATTTTTACAAACTTTAGAGTAATTAATAAAATATAATTATAAATAATATTTAATACTCCTCCGGTCCTTAATATAAGACCCATTTAACTAATTTGATTAGATTAAGGAAGTTAGGTAAGTTAGTTAATTATAAGAAAAGTGACACATTTTTCCTAAAATACCATAATCATCTTTTTTTAATACCTTCTCTCCCTCTTTTACTTGATTATGGTTGAGGGAGTATCCATAGGGGTAATTTAGAGAAAAATGATAAATATGAGAAATGGGTCTTATATTTAGGATCAAAACTAACTCAAGAATTGGGTCCTATATTAAGGACCGAAGGAGTATATAAGATCAACTTTTTATCATGAGCAAAATTAAATAAATATAATGATAATACATAATTAATAACTACTATATACCCAATAATTATAATTGTATTTATATCCAAAATCTAGTCTAATGAAGTAAATATGTTTAATTTGAGTATGTTTTTTCCAGTTTTCATTTTTTTCTGTGTTGTTGATACGAGTAGTCAAATAACTTTTTGAAAGACGATATAGATGATTTATTTGTATGTTTTTGTTTTGAATGCTTGATTTGCGTTTAGAAATTAAAATATATTTGATAGCAACTTTTTTTTTTTAAATATTTGATAGCATATAAATGAGAGAAGATAGATATGATTGAATCCATAAATATACTAAATCACATACAATTTGGCAATAAAGGATAACATGAGATTACTAGAAAATAATGTGAGCATATTAGTTAACATAAGCCAAAATATTATCCTTTCCCTCCAAATTCTCCCAATTTTGGTTTCCCTCCCCTTTTAGAATTTTTATCTTAGCAAACAAGAAAAAATAATTAAAATTCCTCCTCCAGTCCCCTTCCTCTCCTCCCCTCCAAATCCTTCATACCAAACGAAAGGGAACAAGGTCGCCAAAAATAAGCCTGCCGTCTTCTCGTCAGAATCTACGGGGAAGGAAACGCCGTCACCAGCAACAATGCCATTAAAAGCGGTAGGGGCTCGAATGAACCATCCCAAAGGACTTAAACCTCTGCTAAGCAAACTAATAACCAAGAGTAGCTGCTGAAACACCACGAGAGAGCTCATGGGAGGAGAAACACCTACAGATACCAGACAATCACAGGACAAAAAAGGAGGAGGAATAAGAGATCTCACCATCAGCCTCATGCCGAGCAACACCACTTGAGAATATATAGTCCCTTCGTTAATGCCTTGGATTCACCATAAATAAAGTGAACCACGATTGTCCTCCGAGAGATAGATCGAAAAGTGACGGGAGCAGTCATCAACGTAACCCTTCCCCCAAAAAAAGAACATGAAGGCATCAGGCCAGGATCTGGTTAATCTAAAGTCAAGCTACCAACAAAACAAAAGCTGTCATGAGTAAGTCCCCTAGATCTATTTTAAGTCCAAAAAAAAAAAAAACAAAGCACATCACGATCGCCCATTATCACTGGGAAAAAAATGAAAGGCGGTCGCCTCCTCCACCTGCGTAAACGCCAAGGAGGAGGAACCGCAACGGCCGCTCGCACTGAGGCAAGAAAGAGAAAGCTAGCCCATTGGCAAGAGAAGAGATTTTTTATTTTTAATCTACATGACCACTTATAGATAATTACTATTCTTTGGTAGTTATTATTTGCAATTACAATTCATTTTCAGTCATATATTAAGTGCCTGTTTAGATTAATATTGAACAATTGTAATTTTATATAATCATGATTTTTATAAGTGGCACGAGTTAGAAATGAGCTTGGTTAATTATAATTTCTATTAGGATACTTCTTTTATAAATGACATTGAGAATATGAATTATGTTTGGATTTGATTTATTAAAATCATTTATAAATATGTAATTACCAAAACATAATAAGGGTAGATATGAAAAATCCTAGTTGTTGAAACCTTTATTGTGGTTTTCCAATTGCAAAAGCTACTTTTGATAGCTTATGCTCAAATGTGCAACTGAGAGCAAAATCACGATTCCTCAGGATTTGAAAAAACTTAGCCAAATGGGATAAATATGCTTTATAATTATTTATTTGAGTTTAGATGCGTTTATTTGAACTCCCACCACTTAACCAATCAAGCACTAAGTAAGAAATATATTAAATTAATAATTTTTTTCAATTTCACCTGGATTAAAATTTTCCTTTTCTCTATATTTATAAATCATTTCCACCTCTCACTCTCTTTTTTTCTCTTTCAAATGGGAATTAAATAATGATAAAATTGAAAAACAATAATTAAATACCCTATAAATGACTTATATTTCAGATCAATTTTTTTTTCTACAAGTGACTTATAATAAAGATCAAAGTGGTATCTATGAACAAGTAAATCTAAAACACAATTAGATAATTTTTCAGGAATATATATAATTTTTCCATCAATTTTTTTAATGTACATTAAATAACGTTACTGGTAAAAAAAAAAAACAACAATACAAAAGTTACCCCTCTTGATTAAAATCCACCCCATGAATCATATGTGCAGATTATATTGATAAAAGATACAAAGATTCTCATCTAAGCCATGAGAAGCCTTCGCTAAATGGCATGCTAAAATAAGATTTTTCCTATTTCTATACCTAACTAGGATCTCCCAATTTACATTGGTGATAAATCTAGTATCCTGCACAATGTTTCTAAAAAGGTGGTCAACATCATAACCTCTAACGCACAAATTAATTGTCCCAGTAAAGTCAGAATGCACTACAATAGTCCTTAACCCTCTT